CCATCAAACGAAATGGGGGACTAAAAAGAGGGGGATTGAGTTCTTTTTGGCAAAATTTTGTTTGTCTATTAAAAAACCCTATGCGAAATATTCTGCTTAGATAGCACAGTAAAACCCTTTTAAGTGTCCATAAACAAATCTCGGACTGAACATCAAAATTAATAATCTCTCCAAAATACCGCAAATGTTATTGCACAATACATGCGGTATAATTCTTCCACATGTGATATTACGCAATCGGAATCAACAGCTGCCGGTAACCGAAGAATAAAGAACTAAATAAAGGAAAAGAAGGATACTTACTAATCTGGGGTGCTTTCTGATTCTAATTTTCAACAGACTGAGTTAAATTTCTGGAATAGAATCAATCTTCGCTTGGGTTGGGTAGACCGCAAAAACTTTTAGTCCTATTCAATCCAGATTGGACAGTGACAAAAAAAAAAAAAAAAAAAAAAAAAAAAAAAAAAAAAAGTTTGCTGCTTCAATATTAAGAGATTTTGCAGGAGAAAGGGGAGAACCTCCCAACCTCTGTACTGTATGATGTATTGAAAAAAAAAAAAAGAAATCATTTTGACTATTCGGTTACTTTCCTTTTATTTAAGCCATTCCGAATATTATTCCTTAGAAAGCTAATCTGTGTTAAAACACACTTACCCATATTTTGGAAGTTTATCTATACTTCAGCAGTTACTGCAACTATATTATTATAAATATTCATTCATATACTCATAATATAAGCATAACGATTATAATAAACACGAATATGAACTGACCACGGGGAACGAGAATGCAAATTATTAAAATTTTGATAGAAATTCATACGTGTGTAGTATTTGGGTGGGACGAAAAGAAGACCAAATGTACCAGAATTTTCTAGTTTTCGCAATTCTTTGACCAATAGAACGACGTGCACCTGTCTATACTCTCGCACGCACCATAGGTTACGTTAATGCAGAGAAAGGGGGGAAAGCAAGTTCCGGGAGTATGATTTACCATCTGACATTGCATATAAGGAAGAAAAGTTGTTTTTTTAGTTTTGGCTTTGGTACGGGGAAAAAATGCGCATTCATTACAAAAAAGCACTAAAAGCAAAAAATAAGCACTAAAACCAAAAAAAATAAGAGCTTTAAAGAAAACGTAAGCATCTATAAGGGCCTTTATATTTTTATTTTCAAATATAAGGACTTATAAGCACTTGTAATGAGTGCTACGAACCCTGCAAAAGTTTGAGCTTACTTTTACCTATCTGTATGAGAAAGAGTTTTCATCAACAACTCCAATAGAAGTAAAGTACTGAAATCAATGCATGTTCTAGTCTGACTTAAGCTTACCAGTTCACATCCAAATCAGCATGCTCACTCATCTTATTAATGTGAATACCAATGTTTATAATTTTCAATTTATAAGATTATCCAAATTGTGATATTCTTCAATTATTAAAGACAGATACGGATTTTCTTCTATTAACTTCACTACATAATATAAACGTAAAGTTAAATGAATTTAAATTTTATTTTAAAAGTATACATGTAGTGACGCATGCTAAAAAACTGCTTCGGAAGGGGAAAAGAATAAGGTGGTACACAGAAAATTCTGATTTATGAAAGTGATGCTGACTTGAAAAGTTTCAGAAATGAGTTTCAGATATAATTAATAAGTTTGCATTAGGTTGCCAATTTTATATATATAATCCAGGACCTGGGAGTAAGCCAATCACATATTAATTTTGTCATGACACAAGGAATGTGATATATGCGAAACATTTTTCCCAGCAACAAATGGGTTAGAGGAAAATTCCACTTTCTAGTGGAAAAGATATTAAAGCTCCATTCTGCAGAAAGCAGTATCAGATATTCATGTCAAAAAAGTTTAAATCAAGAGAGATTTTATATGAAAATAATTAGTTTTCTTTTTGTAACAACCTGAATTGGCTGAATAAAAGTAAAATTGCTTTCCAAATCTAACTAGAATACAGTTGCTTAAGAATAAATAAAATTTAGATCAGCTCCTTTCAGTAAGAGGATAAAAAAAATTAGCTACTATTATTGACCGAGATATTCAGATCACTATGAAGGCCTACGACTAAATAGTCAGTCATAGTAATCCAAATACAGATGTACTTCAAATCACAAAAGCTTTGTTTCACTGACAAATTATCTGAATAAAAAAAAATCTACGATGGCGAACAGTATCTCAAATTACAAGTATCCAAGTCAGCAACATATGATTTTCAAAGATGCTTCAAGGTAACCAATGCCACAAAAATAATACTTAGGGCTTTCAGAAACACCATTTTAAAGTTTTCCATTTTTTAAAATCCAATGCTGAATAGGTAGTTGCCTGTTCAGCACTGGCCACTCCTAAGGTCAGAGGTGGTAACCATTTTATTGTGGAGGCACCTGCAATCATTGCCTCCTATGAAGGAATGTTACAACCACTCCTTCAATGGGATTCGAACCCAGGCTCTTTGGTATTGTAGTGTAGAGACATTAGGTTATTTGGAAAAGGTGGAGAGATGAAAAATTAGCAACTGCCTTCGCCGGGAATCGAACCACGAACCTCTTGAATACCGGCCTAGCATGCAGAACCATTGCACCACGAAGGCACGCTAGAAAAGCGGGAGAAATACCTTATACAGTCAAAAGTCGTTAATCCAGATTCGTCGGGACTTCGGCGATTCCGGATTATCGATTTTTCCAGATTATAGATCATCAGTTTAAATCTCGTAAAATGACATGCAGAAACTATAAAATTAAAAATATGAAACCGTAATTTATGAAATAAAGAATTATGATCTAAAGGGTATCAAAATTTACAACAAAAAAAGCTTAATATTTATTTGTTTACTTTATTAAACATTTCTTTCAATGTAAGTTGTTTAAGTTGCTTAGTTTTATGTGATAATACTTTCTCTATAATTCTATAAACAGACATAATTTCTCATTCAGTTATAAAGTTCCGCTGTTCAATCCAAATTTTTTCGTTTTCAATAACCTCTGTGTCACTTTCTTCACTATCGGAAGCGAATTATAATGACAAGGAATTTGATTTAAATCATATCAAAGACGGAGTACATTGAGATGAAATACTACATTTAATAAGGAATTATAAGCCAAATAAAATAAAAACATCTGCCCTGAAGATAAGGATAGTGCTGACAGATCAACTGCCAATTCATTGCACGCCGCTGCGTCCCCCCCCCCACCGCAGTAGAGTGGCGTGAAATTGATAAACAGATTTCAGAATGGTTAGAGAAACAAAGGATATGCCTTTATCCATTTTTTGCAGCAATTCCACTTTTTGTTTGATGGACATCGAAACATACTTTCTCTTTGTAGATCCTTTAGGAGCTCCAGCATCGGAAATTCTATTTGACATAATCGAAAGTTCAAACTTACTTTTATAAAATTGCTCTAACAGTCTGCAAAAAATACTAAGCCAGATCCAATTTGAAGATTAAGGAACAACGCAATCTGCAACATTAACTGAAATAGATAATTTTAGCTTAGCTTATATCATCCGTTATACATTAAATGCGCATGCGTAAACGTATTATGCGCATGTGCACACGCATATGCGCAGCGGTAAAGGTCTTACACGCATGCCCAGAAAAGTTTGTAGCTTTGAGGTCCGGATTATGGGTGTCCGAATTAACGACTTTTGACTGTAGTAGTAGGCTCCCTTAATAAATATGCTGTCTGGGCGACAGTTTGCCATTGTTTAGCTCTTATTAACTAAGTCTGGGAAGAAGTACTTCACAGAACCAACAATTCTTCCTGAAGGAAATTATGATCAATTTGGGTTACAAGCAGAGACTTTGGACTTCTTTCTTATCTGTCAACCATAAAGAGGTGGAGAAGTTTCTTTAGGATCATGGAATTGAATTCAGCACGAAAGACCTATAACTTCAGCAGCAGCAACAAAAGGCAATTGCAGAAAAAATCTTTTCAGAAGAAGGGCAAGAAAGAAAACTGACCCTAGTTCTCTGATCCATGAAATGTGTGCAAAATGGGGTCAGGTACGAAGTTTTCATGAAATGGTATCACTCTGATACAAGCTACAGCATGAGCATTTTTAGTGATAATGCCATGTTTCATTTTAGAAACCCTCTTGAAACATAGGCAACACCAAATCACATTAGAAAAATTTTGAGTAACAGAAGCCCAGTGAATCTCAAGTAGAGTCTAATGGTGCTTAGAGATAAAGAAAAGATAAAAGTAGATGCCTCTTAAGGACAGTTATCTGATGTTATTAGGGCAGGAATTTTGCATCCAAACAATATCATCTTCATCCTTTTCTACTTATGCCGTCCCCTCCCCTTTCTGCAGGTACAGTAAAATTTAATAAACTTTGTCTATTTTATCGATCTTGTGTTGACCTTTTTTTGTTTTATATTTAGTGGTTTCTACTGTTAGGAATTATGAACTTGTACATAAATATTAATTCCAATGGAGAAAATTGTTTTGGTTTAAGAACAGTCAAGAACAAATTAAATATGTGAACCGAAGTTTTACTGTATCACCTAAAGCACCTTCTGCTCTAAATCTTGCAAATTGACAGTGATAGTTTAGTTTGGAAGTATTTTCTTTCCTAAATGCATTATGTTTGGATGCAGCTGTTTCAAAGCTGCCCAATTTAAACTCAAAATAAGTTTTTCTCAATTGATCCAGTTCCTTCAGAATATCTCAACAGTTTTCACCCTTCAATGCTGGCTGAAGCTTTAATGGGGGGGGGAAGGCAACTACAGCATCACCCATGGTTGCAAGTGTCACATAGTATAAAAAAAATTGCAAAATCTGAGACCCTTAGCAAATATAATTTCCCATATCAGGAACTATTTCATTTCCACTAACTGAATAATTCTGATATCTGCATAATTCAAATAGACCTGCATACAAAATAAAAAAAACTCAGCACTGGTATAAAAAAAATAAAAAATATTAAAATACTGTAGTTGTAAATTAAATATTTTTAGTTCTAAAACAGAAATAAATACAAACTTTTATCTTAAATCGCTGCAGCTCTACTTTTGATATTGTGTCAGCTTTGGCTATAATAGGAATAATGTTCACTTTGCTATCCAGTTTTTTCATGCATACTAAATCTATGGATTTCAAGCTGCAAAACAGAGAAAAATGCATTAGTGTAAGAAAAATCTGTAATAAATGTATTAAGTGAAATTGCAATTCTTTATATTGAACTCTCTCTAAAACAACAAACTAAGAATATAAGGTTTTGGTCCATGAAGATGATCATCTTTTGAAAATTAATAACAGTAAAAGCAAATTTTCATTTCCATAATCAATTTATCTTGTACAAGCAACAGGTGTGGATGTGTATCATGTGGCATGCAACAGTTTAAGAAAAATACTAAAGTGCACCATACAGACTTATTTTATAATGTTCCTTCCTAAAATAATTGCACTTCATAAACAATTTATATTATCTTCCACATTATGACCTAATTGTTAACTTGTTCACTAGTTTTTGATCTCCAGCTAAATTTTTTCTGTTCCTTAGCACAGATGCTAGGCAAGCATTTCAAGAAAGTCTTCTTTTCAGCTAACTGCTAACTTAGAAAGACACACAGTTGATTACAATGTCAATAAATGCATGTATTACCATTTGAACATTGATTTGTTATATACTATGAGATGCACAAACATAAAATGAAAAAAAATTAATAAATTGCTTAAAACAATTAGGGGACATTGTGAGTCTGGTATGAAATAACCATATAATCGAGAATTGTTTTAACGAAAATGAAAAAGAGGTTAAAAAGAAAAATTACACAGTTTACAAAGTTGAGAATATGCAAATTTTTGACTGTAATGTTGAAAATTATGCACTTTAGATAAGGAGTAAAAATCGATCTTCAGCATTTCTTCCGTGGGATGCGATTAAAAATAATTGATACATGTTAAATGTTTTCTATTAGTGAATGCGATGTATCAGCCGAATTGGTACCCAGAGGGCCAAAGGCGGGTCATATGCAACGTGTTGCAGCGGAACATTAGGACTTTCTCAAAGTGTTATTCCTAGATTATGGAATTAGTATTAGGAAATTGGAAATGTCTATTGTAAATTCGGGACAAGGTCTTATGTCTGCAAAAACACAAAATGAAAATCAGAATTTAATACTAATGGCGAAAAGAAACTGCACTATGAACAGCAATTTCTTGCAGCACCTTCGGAGGGCTACTAGTACCAGAGTTTCAAATCAAACTCTCCAAACCAACTCCATGTGGGCTTGTATGCTTGCAGACCTATGGTTTGACACAGGACCACTGTGCTGCCCCCAGAAGGTGGGCACAAGAGTATCTCAGATGGGGACAAGCTGAATGGAATAACATGCTCTGTACGGATGAGCTCCATTTTAGCGTACAACCTGACAATAGGCATTCTCATCAAGAGAGAAACCGTTATGCAGAATACTTCTGCACTTGTGCATGAGAGTGCCTGATTTGGAGCTGGCAGTGTTAGGGTCTGGGCCGGTATTTCTATGAACGGCCACACTGACTTGCAAATTATCAGGAATGGAGCACAAATAGTTCAGTGATAGGGATGAGATCCTCAGAATTATGAACTTCTACAATTGTGCATGAGAGTGCCTGATTTGGAGGTGGCATTATTAGGGTCTGGGCTGGTGTTTCTATGAATGGCATCACTGACTTGCAGATTACCAGGAATGGAGCACTAACGGTTCAGCAATAGGAACGAGATACTCAGAATTATTGTAGTCTTTTACACTGCAGCAATTGGGGATAAATTCATTCTCATGGACGATAACACTGAGCCACATCATGCTCAGCTAGTGGACAATTTCCTTTTCGACTAAGGAATCCTTCGAATGTATTAGCCAGTACGTTTCCAGATATGAACTCAATAAAACATGACTGGGACACTTTACGGAGAAGGGTTGCTAGTAGCGTATCACCCCCAGAAACAATTTAGCAGTTTGTAAAGTCTCTTCTACAAGAGTGGTAGAGAATACCTCAGTCTTTATTTAATAACCTCATTGACTGCATGCCTTGTAGGTGTGCAACATTGCTTTTGGTCAGGGGAAACCATACCTCTTAATAAAACTTATTTATTTCTTGACACATATCGTCAATAAAATTTTATTACTCCTTGTTTGCTGGTTGCTTTCTTTTCTTATATCTAACAATGCCTACACATCACATATAAATCACCAAAACTTTTCATCTGCAGTTCATATCCGAAATAACAACATCCGTTGTTTTGAGCAGTCTATAAGAAATTTAGGAATATAAACTTTATGCTGCATGGCATAAGCATAAGTCCTTATGACAAATAACATTACACTGAGAAATAATTCAGAAATGATAAACCATTTTCCTTAGTTTTATATAAGTAGTTTGTTACAATATAAACTGGATATGTTAAATCCTTGATTGGTTTATTGCATAAAATATTTTAGTTCAAAGCAAACACGGAAATTGGTGGTTGCCTTAAAACTGATTTAATGGTCTCAGTTGAATAAAGAATGGCCATCTTAGTGATTATCCTAATTCTCAATATCAACATTTCTTTAAATTCTTAGAAATACTAATCACTTATGGACACCATCAGAACATTCAATGTATTTAGTATGCTATGGATAAATAAAAGACATGCTCTTTATGGATGACAACACACTATTATTAATTTGTTTCACTAGGAACTATATTTAATTATTTCAACTGAGATACACATCTTTTGTGTGCATTTCTGAACTGATCTTCTACTGATAAAAACATAATCATGATTATTTCATTATTCAGTTTTACTACATAATACATATACGTATCTATATAAGAAAAGACATTATTATACAAAAGGTGAAAAACATATTTCTTACTTCATGGAAAGCAAGAAAAAGGAAATTTTACTGACAATCAGTTAAAAAACAAAAACCTCTAATTCAAATGAAGTGCAAGAAGGACAAGTGAAAAAAGAAAGAATGATTTTGACATTCTTCTGGTAATCATCAAGGAGCAGTCACATATTACGAAGTCAAACACTTTTCTGATTTCAGCTCTGGATTAGCTTACTTCAATAATTAAATTTTGTATGAATGTAAAGTAATTTTTTATTAAAAAAAAATCATTACCTGAAATGGAAATGCTATTAAGCAGTAGCAATAAAAGCAGTATGGCTGAAGTTTACAACAAAATGGTGCATTTGCTGGGCACATACTATTAAGAAAAACATATTGTATCATAGAAAAATTCCAAGAAACAAAATAGCATTTCTTAGAGAAAACTGATTATCTTATTACAATGGAGAACAAAAATACAAAATACTGAGAGACACCAAGTGTCAGAAATTTAAAGTTGGCTTACTATTTTTATATTTCAACCATAATGATTTTGTTGTTTTCAAAAAACACAATTTTTTAATCAGCACAATTTAAAATATCAGACGTTTATTCAGAAGTTTTAAATTTCTTTCATTTCCACATAATATTTTAAAACTTAGTTTTGTCTGCCATATAAAAGATTAAAAATTTGAACTTAATACCTGATAAAAGCATCCAAGCAGACGATAGTTGTGGAAAAAAAATTATGTTAAATTGTGTTTAAAAGCTTAAGTGAGAATATTGAACACTTTATTTAATATTCATGCTTGAAATTTTGCTCAGTTGATTATAAAGTCTTAATTTATGTATTATTATTTAAGATAATGAAAGATCTTACAAAAGCTGACAAGGAATACATCTTGTGTTCATCTCCTTAAGTAATAAACACCTCTCAAAGTGACATGTATGACTTAGAAAATAGTTAAAAGTAGACTGCTGTCTAATGCTGTAAAGTAGAATTCACAATTAAAAAGTTTTAAAAATTAAAAATATAGAAAATCATATTTATAATTGGGTTATCTTCTTAAATAAAAGTATTATGTAAATCGTCAACTCATAAAGTGAGATCTTTAAAAATAAAAATAAATTAAAAAATAATTTTAATTCTAAAAGCTTTGTCATTTGTTTTGGGAACTTTTTTTCCTTAGCACTAAATTATGTAAACAAGATTCAAGACCAGTAAATGTTTGAAAAGAATTAAATGAAGAATAATACACAGAAAGACTTGCAATCTAAAGATGCAGCAAGATTTAAAAATAATTTCTGGAATTTATTTCGGATGCACATAAGAACTTATAAAACTTAAAAACTTTTTAGAAATTTTTGACAAATAGTATTGAAACTTTTTTTTGCTATGCTTATAGTACAAAATACTTGCTGCAATATGTATTAAGAAGTACAGATGAGCAACATGCTTTCATAAAAAACTGCGATTTGAAAACTTCACTCTGCTTACTTATCTGAAGAATTTAACATCAAAATTTAAGTAAATATATAAATAAAATTAATTAGATTAGAAAAAAATTGCAATGTTTCAGTTTAATACTTGAAACAATATTAAACTAAGCAATTACATCTGGCCTGCTAATTAAAGAATTATTCATCCAGAAATGAAAGACAGGGAATATCACATTTTCATGTAGTACAAAGTCCAAAATCTAGACATCCAATATTCGTACCTCCAGAAAACCAGCAGTTTTTTTTTTTTTTTTAATTTTTTTAAAGAAATTTGTTTTGCAAAAAGCTAGAAAGAATTAAGATTCCAAAAGTAGCATCTCAGTTTAGTATATGCTTAATGTTTCATGCATGCACAGTACACAATTTCCAACATGTGAAAAAAACCTGATTCTTAATTTCAGTTTCAGCATTAGCCCCTTAACTGCCACGGGCATATATACATACCTTGCTCATCTGATGTATGTGGATTTTGTAGTAGGTGCTTTTTAGATATATGTCCTTCCAAAATACTATCATTTGCTTTGTGCTGCTACCAGTAAAATTATTCGCAAAGCCTTGAAATGCAACATCACAATGACCATGACAAAGTATGCAAAAGAGGATACTATTTCAGAGAAGGGGTGGGGAATTGGAAAGGGGGATGTTTCTGAAACTATGAAAGTTATGACTGCTTGGTTATTGCTATTTGGGTAAAACATACTTTTTTTATTCTCTGTCTTCCATTTTCGTTTACTGTTTGTAGTAGGTACTTCTTTTACGAATATATTTGACAATGATGACTAATGACTAAGCAGTTATC